TTACTCACCTCAGAACTGGTGTGAATCTTTGTCCTTCTTACATGCTATTTTAAAAAAAGCCACAAACTACAGTATTAGACATTTGGATCTACTTAAGAAAACAACACACACATTTCTAGCTTGAGCCTCTGAGTAATGCAGTGTCTGGTAAGAGCACCCAACAGCTAAATGTGGCAAGTGGCCACCATACTGGACAACACAGTTCTACAGATTAGTGATTTTTTTTAAAAAAGTACTTAAATATGGGGCGCCTGGGTGGCTCAGTCACTTAAGTATCTGACTCTTGGTATCGGCTCAGGTCACAATCTCAGGGCCATGGGATCGAGCCCCACGTCAGGCTCTGTGCTGGGTGCAGAGTCGGCTTGGGATTCTCTTTCCCTTCCCTCACTCACGCTCTAAAATAAAATAAGTAAATCTTAAAAAAAAAAAAAAAAAGGTACTTAAATATGACATGCTTTATTTACTGCTAATTTCCTACAACAAACCCCAAAAGATTTTTCAACCTAAATCAATCTAAATAAGAGATCAGCATTTTACAAACATAAACTCCAGAGTTTTTCCTCTTGGTTCCCATTCCTGGCCTAGTTCAGCTCCTTATTCTTTTAAACACTTAATCTCAGGGACAGTTAGTTTCAATTTTACCCTTCTTTTTAAGAAGATTCCCAATTCTCCTATAGTCATGGTTCACCCACTCGTTTCCAATATCCTCAAGTACTTGGTGAGGATATACTGTACTCTTCCTCCTGAAGAATACCTATTGTGTTGGAACTGCATATAAACTTTTGCTAGCAACAAACATAAAACAGATAACAGAAAATGATATTACCACCCTAAGTATTTCTTCCCTTTTGGCCTATTTAGTCCACTGAGCTATCTTCTGCATTGTTTCCACCGGGTACCTCTTTCCATTTTCAATTAGCTTCTTTTTAATACAGTAGCTCCTTCACCACCACACTTAGTGCATGGGCACAGTGAGTTAAAAATGTATGCCTTCACTTACCTCTTCTGCCTTTTCAGAATTAAGAACCACCCTGAACAAAACAAAACGAACAAAAATAAAAACAAAAACTCAAACTCTGGGGAAAAAAAATCCAACTTGTTCAAACTTTGATTCCTTTTCTCCAATGGTATATCTATCAGAGCCTTCTTTCTTCTGTGGCTCTATGTGGCTATTAAAAAAAAAATGCCTGAGTCAGCAAGACTGCCCACCTATAAGAAGCCAAAACTAAAAACAAAACAGACACCAGAAACTGCTTAATCATTGTCACCCCCATTTCCAGTGGTAGCCAAGGCTCTCTGATCAAGTGCTACAGCTTGCTCCCTTCATTTTCATTTTCTAAAACCTTTCTCCATGTATAAACTGTTTTCTTCACTGATACTACAATTTCTCTAAGTCTGGCAAGCAATTTCTTCTCCTTAGAGCCACTGTTCACACCACAAAGAGACCACAATGGCAAGCTCATCCCACACCCCACCCCTCTGTGGTTTTTATTTCTAGCCCCACCTAATCACTAGGCTTAGAGATGGGAGTCCTCTCATTTTTCAACAGCCTGTCTGATACTGTTCATGGCCTAATCTAAAATCCTTCTGTGGTCTAAACTAACAAAATCTTTCTCTTTCTTCTGTGAAAAATTCTTTTAACTTCACTCTCTCTTTCTCATAACCATTCAGTCACTTTCTGTTCCCTCATAGCATTCTACTGAGGCTTTCCAAACAGAACTGCAAATTCTTCTAAAGGAGTGCTAGGAGGCCCCTGGGCCTGCTTCTCGGTGTTGAAAAACCAAGTTTCCAAGTCTGCAAAGTTCTAAGTCAGATCCTAGGCAAATCCACCAAGGTAACACTACTCTTTGAAACACCTTTAGGAAGGCAACCAACTGGCTTCTCCTGAAGACAGCACTTTCAAAATGTCAATAACTGGCACATACCTACAAGGACAGTTTCTATTCTTCTAGTATTTCTCCATCTCCTTGTATTAAATTACTATTAATCTCTCGTTGAACTAGTTACTTTTGGCTTTACTTCTATCTACCAAATGAAGGAGGGGGTCATGTCTGTTCAAAGTTCTCCTTCAAACTATTCCATCATTTATTAAAGTATGCAATAAGCTATCTAAGGAAGTACCATGCTAGGTGCCAAGAAGAACTTAAAAAATAGATAAAGCAATCTGGATGAGAAGCAAAATCTGTACACAAACTCAGAAATATAAGGGGCAGGAACAAAAGAGTAGGCTGTGTCCTAAAACTAGAGCTGTGTATATAATTAGCTGTTCTGCCACTTCTCTCTGCCTTAGCACCGTTCTTTTCTGCCTTCTTTCCACTGTCTACTACTTGTAAATGATAGTTAATGCTCTCCAAAGTTCCTTCCGTGGTCTCTATCCATACTAATTTTTGTGGTTGGCCTCTGCCTCCTCAACTGCTCAGGCTGCCTGTTGGAATTGATGCAGCCCCTCATGGGGGTTCCAAGACACAGCCTCCCAGCATATGCAACTAGAAGGTGCCACACGACCGAAGATACTCTCTGCCTTGTATCCGAACCAGATTTCTCCAAACTGATGTCCCCTATTTTTCAACTTTTGCTACAAGCTGAATGAAGTGAATTCTCTGTACCTTGCACATTAAGGATGCTGAGGAAATACCTGCTTTGTATCTACCAGTAATAGGTAAGAACTAGAAAAGTCTGAGTTGCTGTAACAGACATTTCTATTAAGCTATCATTTCCAAACTTCGGTTCTATAGAACTCCAGTTTTGTGGGTTTTAGTGTTTTGGGGGGATGGGGACAAGAACAAGGATTCTTTGGTCAAATATGCATGGGAAACAAGAGTTTGGCAAAGTTAAATGAGCTTCTTTACTGATGGCCCCTGGAATGTGCTAAGGTCTCTTGGAGAAGAGTATTCGGGGGACATCATGTGAAGCGTTTTCATGTGACCTTTTGACTCCATATCCTTTTCTTCCACAAAGCACTTCCAGGCCTTGATCCCTCCTCTATAAAATGAGTATTTATTTCATAGGGTTATAATGAGGATTTAATAAATGAATACACGTAAAATGCTGAGAACAATGCTAGGTATATAAAAAGCACTCGAGAAGAGTTAACTATAATTGCCGCTACATTCCCCTATGCTGATACTATTTAACATGCCAATATTCCCAGAAGAGTGAAGATTTGAAAAATTTTTTACTTTGTAGTAATTTCCACTGTTACTACCAAGTGGACAGAATGAGCCCTCCCTTTGCCTGAGAGGCACTGCTTGAGACTCCAAATAACAGAAAACATTTATAGAAAAAATTGATATATATGATATAGTTATCAGTAAGAAACAGATCTTACAGAAAAAGCACAAAGTGAAAAGGGTGTTATAAATTTTCTTCATTCCAAAAGGAAAAAGCCTTCAGTACTTTGAGAGCTGAGGTGGTCTAAATGCTCAGCATGGTCTCTGGCACACAGTAAGCACTCAATAGAAGTTGGATGAGAAGCCTGAGAAATTAATGGATAAATGACTATTACCTTGAACAGCTCAAATACTATTTCCAAATCACTATAAAACAACTGGGAAACCCATACACTTCTCTATTTAGGCTCCCTCACTCTTCTCTACAGATGTTTAATCATATAGGTGAAATATGAAAGCAGACACAAGAGTGGTTGCTATATTCTGTTTAAGAGTTATTAGTGGTACTTGGCAGAATTTAATCTCCCAAGTGTGTCAAAATCTAACATTTGCTTAAAAAAAAAAAATCAAAAAACTGTAAAGGCAATGTGCGCCATACACAATGGTACTATTTGATGTCTTTTAAAGATACAGTACCTACCTGCCTTATATTTATAATTTATACAGGAATTTATCATTTGTAAACTTACACAGGAATCTATCTCTACATGTTCATCTGAGCTAGTTTCAGAACTTTGAAAATTTTTTAAAAACTGATAAATGATCAGAAAAAAAACTAAGCTATGAAGAATTAAATCGGTTAATGGAAGAAAAAATTGGTGCATTTTATAAAAATCAACAAGAATCTTCCCAACTATTTTTTTTTCCTGAAAACAATGATCTCAAATACTTCCAATTTTAAAGTACCAGAATTCTATGGCTAGAACCTCACACCTGCTCTGATAGAGAAACACACTGTTTCTACCATCCAGTTTCTTCCCTTTATTTTATGAGCTTTTCTTTCTTTCTTTTTAAAACCTGGTAATCCTCACATTAAAAAATTCTAGGACAGGGGTCGGCAAATTATGGCCAATGTCCAAATATGGCTTCCTGCCCATACTGTACACCAGATGGCCAAGATGGTTTTTTTGTTTGTCTGGTTTTTTTTACATTTTTAAAGGGCTATAAAATAAATCAAAGAAGAATATTCGAGAGATGTTATGTGGCTAGCAAAACCTAAAATATTTACTCTGACCCTTTACAAAAAACTTTTTTGATCCTGCTCTAGGGTATTATTTATCACAGCTTACTCAGTAATTCAAGATAATTTATATCAATGATAAGTTCACAGTGAATCATTACATTTTACGGTGGTAATTAGCACAGAACTCCTTTGTAACAATATTTGGGGTCTTCACGCCTACCATTTAGTTCCAATAACCAACTAAGTTGTTTTTTTAGAATGCTAGCACAGAACCCCGCACAGTGTGGAAGTTCAAATATCAAACTCAGACCACCTGAACAACAGTACTTCAGTTATAATGCTAGTCTAAAGTAGTGGAATAGCCTGGATATAGGAAACCCTTTTTCTCTCTTGAGAATTCAGATCAACTGATAAGCAAAGAAACCTCAAACCATTTTATCCTCTTTGTACATCCCCCATTCTTATTTAAGTTAAAAGGAAGAAAATAATTCTTCCTTGCTTTCTCTGAAGTCTACCCCAGGCGAGAGGTACAGATGTGTGTGTGTGTGTGTGTGTGTGTATCAAAATCTCAAATGTGTTTTCTAATTAGGTTTCCTTGTAGAGAGTTCTCCCCAAGTATTCAAAAGAAAACAAACACAGAAACTTACTCCAGAGCAGGTCTCAGAACTCTGACTTTTAATGCTTCTAATATTCGATTTAACTCCACAAATGGTTCTTTCTGACTTGGGTCTACAGAAAGACCGGATTCCTGAAAAAAACAGAATGAACTTTTGTTAGCAATAATAAGGTAAAGGGATATGGTAAAAACATATTCCAAATTATAAAATATGGGTCAATCCATTAAAAATAATTTCTAACATGTATTTCTATGGTACAGACTGATGACTGAGCCCTACTACCATTCTTTCTAATAGTAGTAGAATCCCTGTGTATTCCATACAGAGTCGAGTACATAACTGTATGGAATAAAGCTGGATATGACTTTGTGAGATGTAAATTCTGGCCAGTGAAACAGAAACACGTACTCTTTGCCCCTTCCTGGAATACCAAAAGGTGTAGCTAGAGTTCTGACTGCTATCCTGGACCATAAGGACAAGGACACCTTAGAAACAGCAGAGCTACAAGGAAGCTAGGTCCCGAAAAGCCTCCTGGAGCATAGCTACTATATCTGCTGTGGATGGCTTACCACCTCCTATTTCTGTGCAAGAGAAATAAACTTCATTTTTTTTTTTAAAGCACTGGTATTTTGGGTCTTTGTTACTTATAAATAAGCTTAAACCTAACTGACATAACTCCCTTTAGGAAATTTATACAGACACACACAAAATTCCCAAAAGGTACAGAGAAAGACCTGAGTTACTGTTTTTCTGGATTGTTTAAAATAGAAGGGGTGCCTGGCTGGTCAGTCAGTAGAGCATGCAACTCTTGATCTTGAGGTTGTGAGTTCGAGACCCACTTGGGGTGTAGAGATTACTTAAAAATAAAATCTTTTAAAAAATAAAATAGAAAAGGCTTAGAGGCCTGGTTTACAGACTGGCTTTAAACTATTTAATCTTTATAGTCCTTCATTTTTCTAAACAGAAAACACAATAGCACATGGTGGCTTAGAATAGAGTTTGAAGATGTCAATTTGGGACTGAATCCTAGTTCTTTCAGTAAGGAACTTGTATGGCCTTGGCAAACCACTTCTCCAGACCTCAGCTTCCTTTTCTATAGAATGGAAGCAATTTCTAGCAATTTCTATCTCACAGGATTGCAGTGAGGAATAAAGGCAGGGGTTGGCTGGTGGACTCAACACATGGCAGCTGCCACCATTATGACTAGGAGATACTGGTGGACTATTCTGAGATCCCCAAGCTTATGTTTACTAGCAATAAAAGATAAAAGCTGCTCACCTGAAGTAAATTTTAGCTTAAAACTCATCTGATAAACAAAATGCTACAAGCTGGGCCAGATTCTTCTCTGCTTTCCTACCTTCCCTATTAAAAGAGGAAGTGGAGAAAGTAGTATCACTTTTGACCCCTTGGATGATGACCTGGGACCAATGTGATGCGGCAGGGATAAGGAAAAAACAATTCAAATAAGAAGTTCTAGAACTGTAGTTTTCACCAATTAAAAAAAAAAAAAAAGACCTCCTAGTACAATGAAGTCAGCCCTGATACTTAAAATATTAAAAATCTCTCTAGGGCCAGCAGAAGATTCAAAGACCCCAAGGAGCCCCCACGTTTCTGTTGCATGTCCTCACACACCGGCACGCTGTTACCTGGCAGAGCTCTTCAGCTACATCCAGCATTCCTTGCCGAAAGAAGTGCTCCACCATCACCTCATTGAGGAGCCTCTGACTGTCTGCCTGCCAGCAGCCGTCTATTCCCACACTGCTAATGTCAGAATCAAAATTCTGGAAAAAAAAAAGAAAACAGATCAGGAATTGACTAGGATAGATTACTTTATAGGATTTTCACCCCATCTAACAGAAAGAGTGCCCTTCATTTCGCTCAAATATCCACAGTAAGGACCCAATTCAAGTCATCTGCAGCCTATGAAAGAAGTTGTTTTTCCACTGCTCCGTTCTAAAACTTGTCACTCTCGTTGATTATTGCTAGAAGAGTAAATGAGTACATTTTCAGAGGGTTTTTTGGGAAAATATGTTTAATCATTTCAAATAAATTTATTTCTACACAATATAGCAATATTTTCAGGTGTACAGTGCTACCTAGAAAAACATATTCAAGGCAGCACTGTCTAAATGGAAAAGAGAGAAAACGCATATGCCCAAAACAGAATTAAATAATCATGGCACAGCCCAACAACTGCTGTGCCAAGGTAGGGGTTGGGGGTGGGAGAATGGCCAGGTAATTAAGAGAGCAGGCTCTGAGGCCAATCTACCTGGGTTTGAATCCTGGTTCTCTTACTAGCTGTGTGATCTTGGCCAAATCAGTCAAGGTCTTTGAGCCTTAGCTTCCTTATCTTAAGTGGAGAAAATAACAGCACCTTCCTATGATGTGCTGCATCTTCTTAAAATTCCCATGTTGAAGTCCTAATTCCCAGTACCTCATTGAATTAAGATGAGGTCATTATGGTGGGCCTTAATCCAACAGGACTGGTATCCTTATAAAAAGAAGAAATTAGGACACAGGTAAGTACAGAGGAAAGACCCATGTGTTAGGGACTGAATGTCTGTATGTGTCCACCCCCCCACCCCTCCCAAATTCCTACACTGAAGCCCTAACCACCAATGTGGCTGCATTTGGAGATGGTCTGCGAGGAGGAGATAAAGGTTAAATGAAGTCATAAAGGTGGGGCCCTAATCCAATAGCACTGGTGCTCTTATAAGACAAGGGAAAAACACCAGCATGTTCTCTGTCTCTCCACCCTGTGAGGACACAGTGAGAAGGCAGTCATCTATAAGCCAGGAAGGAGGTTGTCTGCCCTCAACAGGAAATGAGTTGGCCAGCACCTTGATCTTGGACTTCCCAATCGCCAGAACTGTAAGAAAAATAAGTTTCTATTGTTTAAACAACCTAGTCTACGGTATTTTGTCTTGGCAGCTCAAACAGACGAAGACCCCATGTGAAGATCCCAGGAGAAGGTGGCTATCTACCAGCCAAGAAGACAGGCCTCAGCAGAAACCAACCCTGCCAGCACTTGATCTTGAACTTCTAGTCTCCAGAGCTGTGGAAAAATAAAGGTCTGTTTAAGCCACTCAGTCTGTGGCATTTTGTTATAGCAGCCCTAGCAAATTAATATACTCCTTTATTGGTTAAATGAAATGGTAATTGCTACTATTCTAATATTACTATTCATAATGAAAAAGTGATGTTCATCACTATATATCTACTAATATGGAAAAATGGCCATGACACCTTAAGTGAAAAAAGCAAGTTTTACAAAATTATGACCCCATTTTTGTTTTTTAAAAAAGGAATACTTGCAAATGCTTAGGAAAAAAATCCAAAAGAATAGAAAGTATTAGCAGAGATTATCACTGGAGATTACCACTCTCCACACAAAGAGCAAATATCCCTTTTATGATAAACTAGAAGATTTTCTTAAAACACACATGTTAAGAGTTCCAGTTCTGGGTAAGATTTACATGTAAGCACATTCCACCCTGTCTATCCCACTGAATGCAGTTATAAAATCAGCACAGAGTGAAGGCAGCAGCCATTTGAGGACACTAAAAAGTGATTCTAGATCTTCCTCCACTTATGATGGGTTAAATCCTGATAAACATAACGTAAACTGAAAATGAATTTAGTACACCTAACCTACCAAATGTCATAGCTTAGCCTAGCCTATCTTACACATGCTCAGATGCTTACATTAGCCTACAGTTGGGTAAAATCATCAAACACAAAGCTCATTTTATAACGAAGTACTGACTATCTCATGTAATTTACTCAATACTGTAATGAAAGTGAAAACCAGAATGGTGATACGATTCTAAGTGTACTGGTCATTCACCCTCATGGTCGTGTGGCTGACGGGGAGCTGCAGCTCAGTGCTGCTGCCCAGCATTCACAAGAGTAACGTACTGCATGGTGCTGCCAGCCCTGGAAAAGATAAAAATTCAAAAGTCCAAGTACAGTTTCTACCGGATGCATATCGCTTTCACACCATCATAAAGTAAAAAAAAAATTATAAGTCAAATCATCCTAAGTCAGGGACCATCGACAGTAGTAAGTGGAATGGGAAGAGGGTCACAGAACTAGTGGTGAGTTTACTACTTTTTTCCCTCCAATACCTCTCAGCCTGGATGCAACACAGCCAAAACACAGAACTAGGCATGATGTGGACATCATAACCAGAATGTGGACACAGCATTCCAGGGGAAGCCCTCTAGTTCCGGCATGAGAAACAGGAATGGGTTTCTCCTATCACCCAGAGAGGAAGAGAAAAAAGCACATGTTTTTTCCCTCCATTTTCTCGCACCTCTAGCTCAAGGCAGTCTGACGGTACATTAATTTTCTATTGCAACTTAAATCAACACAATTTTATTATCTCACAGCTTGACAGATCAGAAGTCCAATAGGCTCACACCATTTCTCTTCTCCAGGTCCCATAAAACTGAAATCAAGGTGTCAGTGACCTAGGCTCTTATCTGGGAGAATACAAGATGAATCTCCTTCCAGGCTCGTTCAGGTTGTTGCAGAATAAAGTTCCATGCAGTTTTAAGACCATGGTCCTTGTTTCCTAACTGGCTGTAGGGGTTGTTCTCAGCTTCTAGAAGCCACTCACATTCCCTGGCTCACGGCCCCCTCTATCTTCAAAAGCCAACAAAAGAGGTGACATCCCTCACACTCTGAATCTGCTTTTTCTCTTTCTACCAACCTCTACTGCTTTTAAGGGCTCCTATAAATTATACCAGGCTCACCTAGATAATCTCCCTATTTTAAGGTCGACTGCTTAGTAACCTTAATTATACCTGTGAAGTCTCTTCAAGGCAGTACCTAGATAAATGTTTGAATAACCAGGGATCAAGAATCTTGGGAGGATATTTTTAGAATTCTGCCTACTACAGCAGGCAACCTAAAACTCTGGCAGAGGGGGTCCTTTCTCTCCAATCAGAGGAGCTGTGGTCCCAAGAAGGGGCAAAAACCTCTACTGCATCTTTGCTTTCTGTCCTTCCACCACCTAACCCCAGATACAGGCACAGTCATAGTAAGTGTACAGAGGAGTAGGGTAAAACAAAGCCCGTTTTCTGGCCAAATGACCAAAAATGTGGCCCCAGAGAACTATATAGTCCCAGTGAGATCACAGAGAGGGAAGAATTCACAAAAGTGACCCCTTAAAATTAAAGTTGTTTATGAACTCCTGGGCTCACTCTCCAGTTGCACATGCATGGGCTGACCCTAAGCAACATACCAGACTTTAAAAACTGAACTAGGGGACAGAACTAGATTCCAGGTCCCAGAATGGCCACTGGTTGGCACACAAATAAGACATATCTGAATAGCTCTGACACTGAAACCACAACTCAGAGAAGACTGATCAGAACTTGTAGCCTGAACTCAACCAGGTTGACTGTCTGCTAAAACAGAAATATCAACATTCTCCATAGAATTTAAACAAGACCCAGAGTCTTGTAACATAATACAGTTGACCCTTGAACAATCTGGGTTTGAACTGCACAGATCCACTTATACATGAATTTTTTTCTGATAAATACACCACAGTACTGGATATGTATTTTCTCTTCCTTATGATTTTCTTAATAACATTTTCTTTTTTCTAGCTTAATTTATTATAAGAATATAATATAACACATATACAAAATATGTGTTTATCAACTGTTCATGTTATCAGTAAGGCTCACACCCAACAGTAAGTTATCAGTAGTTAAGTTTTGGGGGAGTCAAAAGTTGTATGTAGATTTTCGATGTGCAGGATGCTGTTCCAGGGTCAACTGTATTAAAAATGTCCAGGATACAATCCAAAATCATCTGGCATACAAAGAACCAAGAAAATCTAAACTCACATGGGAATAGATGGTTCAACAGATATCAATGCCAAGATGACAGATACTGAAGTCACCAAACACTTTAAAGTTATAAAACTGCTTTATAAAGGAAGAGCAAACACTTTCGAACAAAAGACAGAAAGTCTTAGCAAAGAAACAGAAGACACAGCAATCAAAATAAGAAACTCACTGAATGAGTATCAGAATGGAGGTGACAACACAAAAAGTCAGTGAATATCAACAGAAATTATCTAATCTAAACAATAAAAAAGACTGGAAAAAATGAACAGAGCCTCAGAGACCTGTGGGACAACAAGACATCTAATATGTATGTCATCTGAGTACCAGAAGAGAGAGTAATGGAGAAAAAATATTTCCCGAACTTAGCAAAAGACATAAATCTAGATTCAAGAAGCTCAGCAAACTCGAAAGAGGATAAACTCAAAGAAATCCACACCCAGACACTTACAATCAAATGGCTGAAAACTAAAGACAAAGAAAAAAATCTTGAAAGTGGCTAGAGAAAAGTGATGCATTGCTTACAGAATTCTCCACAGAAACCATGGTGACTAGAAAGAAGTCACTCAACATTTTTCAAGTACTAAAAGAAAAGAATGATCATCCCAGAATTTTATGTCAAGTAAAAATATCCTGTACAAACGAAGATGAAATAAAAACATTCTCAGATGAAAGAAAGCTGAATTTGTTGCCAGAAGACCTGCTCTAAAAGAACTGTTGTAAATTCTTCAGATAGAAAGGAAATGATACCAGAAGTAAATTCTGAACACCAAGAATGAAGAAAGAACAAGTCTACCTTGTGGTCTAAAAGCTTTCCCTAACCAGATACCACCTCACACCTGTCAGAATGGCTAATATTAACAACACAAGAAACAAGAGGTGTTGGCGAGGATGCAGAGAAACGGGGACCCTCTTACACT